GTTTATAATAATATAATAATAATATAATTTATGTTCAGCGCTAATAGTAATAGGTTATTACAATGATAAAATATCTAATGTTAATTAAAAAAATAATAATAACTAATATAAATATATAATAATAAGATAGACGTTTCCGCACGTGCTACATCAATCTCTATGTAGGTATATTCTTATTAAAGTGTCGTAACGATTCGAAAGAAAAAATATGTTATATAATATCAAAGRTGTCTCTGTTATAAATATTAAATTGCAACGTGATACATCGTTTAAAATAATAATATCGTGTTGCATAATTTTACCAAGTACCTATACCTACGGCTATACCTACGTATATATTATAGTGTGATGTATGTGGGTATATAGTCCGACGAGTGTGTATCTACTTGTATACTTACGATATACCTCTTAGGCCAAACTAGGTCAGCATTTGTTTTTGTTTTTTTTTTTGAGGAGGTGTGGTTAAGTAAGACCTTAATGATGATAATGGGTTTTCAAAAAAAAAAAAAATCAACTTTAATTTGTTTTTAAAGCCTCGTAAAGTATTATATAATTATTATAAATCATATTTATGTGAAGGGAGACTTAAATCGAAACTGGGTAGGACATAGCCCATAACAACTCTCCCACTCCTTATGGTAACGCCTGTGAAACATAATTTCAGATTTTACTTTTGTGATATAATTATAATAATATTGTCATTAATTTTTGTCTGCATCTGTGAGCACTCGAGAGGAGGATAATTAAACAAATACTGATATATTTTAGGTACTCGCCAACCAAAATACCTAAATATAAAGTCGTGACGTATACCTATATGGTTACTGCGGGTTAAGTCTGTATTAACCACTGTTGATGAATGTATAATATTATATTATCGTGCTTATATAGTTGCGGTTTCCTTAATAAATTTACCGCGAGTTAAAGAAATGCTCAATAGCACAGATTTGTACAAAAAAAAATACCTAAAAACTTTCGTATTTTTAAGAAAAAAAAGAGAACCTCCACGTGATAGGAGTTTTTCGCGTCAGCGGAGGTGTAGTGGTGGAAGTGCAGGTGGACATAATCGGCGTGTGGGTGTTTAAAACGAGTTGGCGGCCAACATAGACGCTATCACGGCCACGATGGTCAGCAACAAGACATGCGATGTGGACGGACTTTGGTGACCCGCTGACTTGTCCCACGGCGTGATCGGATCACTGTAACAGAAAAAAAATTGTAAATAATTTTWAAAAACATAGATATCAAAATAAAGCTTTTCTTTTTAACCACGTGACAATATTCTTTTATACATTATTCATATCATACATTCATACCCATATACTTCAAACTTAACTTTGATTATTAATCTTAGATTAATATTTTCATTTAAATTAATATGGTTCTCGCTTCTCACATTATCTCATATATAGTGTTTGACGTTTGTACATAGTAGGTATATAATACGCGCTGCGAATACATTTTGAAGATTTTAAAAGTCAACTTAAAAACGTATTTTTTTGGTAACGATTTTCTAGGATTATAATAATATGTATGATTAATGATTTATGATTACAATAATATAATATAGTGACAACTTCTAACAGTAAAAATGATATCAGTGTAAGGCTAAATAGAGGATGTCAAATGTCAAGGTTAGGTAAAATGTCTTCAATCTTCATCGAGTAATATTTATAATATTTGACTATGATATAGGAAATAATGCCAACAATAATAATTTGTTTTCTGAAAATACCGCCGTCTGGCCGTCTTGTACTTCAAAAAACGGAATAATATTGCGTTAAGTTAGACATAGTAAACTAAGTGAATACCTAATCAAAAATA